ATGCATCGTTGTTTTTCCGACATCCCTAGGAACAACCCGAGATAATACCAACACGTAATTATTGATCCAAATGCTGGATATTTATTTATTTAATAAAATGGAAAAATGTTTTTTTTTTTTTTTTTAATAGTTTTAATGGGTGCGCATGAGTTTTATATTAGCTAATTTTTTGCCAAATGCATGATGGTCAATTTGAATACTGTAGGGTCAGTGGCAGGAGTATAAAACGTGATTTGTGGTTTAAGGAATCGCCGCCATCTTGAAAACTGGTGAGCTTTTATTATCGATTCCGGGGAAGAAACACTTAACTACCACCAGAGCCGGTTTTTTTTAAGGCGGTTAGAAGGTTGCAATGTTTCGCAAGCTTTTACTAGGAGTCACCGAAACTCTGTAGTTTAAATGGCTTATGGATTTCTTGAGAAAGTAAAAGATTTCATAGTCGTGTTCAGTGTGCAACGATTACAAATTAGATACCTAAAAAACATCTCTAAAGCTCGGTATGCAGCTCTCAAGAAAACATTCAGAAAAAATTGCCATTATTTCGCCTGTGTGTCCAAGGAATTTTGACATTTTTGATACCTCACAGCCTGTTGCCTCACTCTTTCCTCAAGCAAGAATGGAACGCGCATATATTTCTGTTGCAAACCTGGGTTGCCTTGTGCTCTTTTTTCACAAAAAACTTTAGAAAACCGTAGTAGAGAGCGTAGTAAATTTCTTAAGAACTGCATACTGCCTTAAGGAAATTTGACTCAATAAAATTTCTTAGCCAATTCTTGTAAGTCATTTTATATGGAGTTTTTGCTTTTCTTGAGAGCTGCATACAGGCCTCAAAAATATAAATTATTTTGTTAAGTAAAGTAGTGATATTTATGTATATATGTACATATGTATTTATAAAAATGTATGTAGGTATATTTGTATTAATTCTTGCACTAATATGCATCACAGATCCTTTTCCGCCAATGCTGCCTTTTCCTATTCCGCGACACGTAATAATGCCACCGAGAATCTCTTTGCCTGGAACAGATGTGACCCTGCAAAACGATCAGCTGTGGAAGCAATTTCATCAAATCGGCACAGAAATGATTATAACAAAAAGCGGCAGGTAAGAAGCTAATTCTTTACATAGATGTAAATATGTATAAATAGGTACTAATGTCGTAAATATGTTTCATAATGTCGACAGTCAAACGTAACCGAATAAATAACTCTCGTTTATTAAATTTTTCAAATTTCATATATGCTATGTACATATGTACATACCTTGTAGGGAAAGCCCGAACTGGTGAATCAAATTTATAGTTCCGAACTAGATCTTTATCGCCAAAAACGAACCAGTCCGATAGTAAGTAGATCACCACCAGTTCAAAAACAGCGAGATGTGATACTTAAAAAAAAAAAAAACAATTTTAATTATAATTATTTGGGCCAAATTCTTATTTGTTATGTTTGCTGGGTTGGAGCTGCTTCGGCCGATAAATCTTTGTTTTTATTTTTCGAATAAAGACTCCCTGATGAAGACGCGAGAGCGTTGAAACGCGTGGGAGGGTAAAAGGAAAATTTATTTTTTTCGCGTTTTTAACTCTATCGGCCGAAGCAGCTCCGACCCAAAAAAAAAGCAATTTTATTTTTAGAAAACTATATTTAAAATGACGAATTTAGAACTGGCTCGAAACTATAGGAAAGGGGGACCAACCAATAACAGCAAGCACCTCTGCAAATTCAGCTACAGCCGAAGGTATGTAAATTCGGCAGTTGTTTGCATGCAAAAGACATTTATCGCGAACTAGTAGTGGGTCTAAATGTACTAGAAGCGCACCAGTGCAGAACTAGAGTTTTTTCACGGAGGGTATGTATGTACATAGAATGCATATCTACACAAATTCGAACATAGTACATCTGAAGATATGTACCTAAATGCATACATAAATAATAAAGTCGCAAAAGATCCAAAACAGGTTGTACTCGTTTGAAGACACACGCTCGCATGGGCAATCTGTTTGAGATGTTTTATGTTTGCATGCATGGATATATGCATGTGGCTATCTGAATATGTATGTACATATGTATGTATGCCTGCAGAAAATCTGGCTAGTCTAGAACTAGTTTACAACTAGACCTTTTGCCGACAGTACTAGTTCTAGCTCAATACCCAAGCAATGCTTTCAACTGTCCAGTTTTACACGGCGATGTCATCGGCGGTGGCAATTGTCGCCCAGTGCATTACTTTGCAACCAGTTTTCAATCGGTTCCATTTTGGACAGTTTTTTTTTATAAGAAAACATTTTTGCGATTCGATTTTTGGACATTTTTTTCGTTTTATCTTTTCGTTTACAGATTCCGTTTTTGTTACATATTTTAATAAAAAAAGCGTTGTAAGCTGCACGCAACAATTTAAATTTATTAAATTTGAAAACTCACAACTGCGAACACCGCGATTTGAACTCGCGACCAACGATGGTTGCGTCGGAGGTCTTCTCGCTGAGCTACTTTCGTATTGTACGAGTAGTGAGCATTTGCCTATTTACACCGCAAGTTTCAACCGTACCGCTCTGCATTCCTTTTGTACCAGTTCAGAGATAGTTCTGAGATATTTAGTTCGGAACTAGCGCTTTGTCGGACTGTCTCCAAATTTTACTGCAGGGTATACTATTTATTTATTTATTTGCGCATGCGCATGCACAAACATACATACATACACCTGCACATATCGCTGTAGTTGTGTTTGTTCGTATGTCCTTTAACAGCCGTAAATGCCGACTTAACACATCGTTTCGGAAGTAGACTATGAATGCGTCGCATGCCGCCACAAGCCAGCGAGCGCACTTTGCCATCCTCAATGGCGCGACGACATTAGTCAAAAATGCTGTTAAGTGGCCATCAGAGAATGGCGCCTGTGAAGTGTTTACGTTGGTAATGGCGGCAACGACAGCGCCGGCGCGACAAGAATTTCTCTCAAGCAAATAAATGACGCGAAAATTCTATCGTAAATGCCAAGTACACGCAGCACGATACATACATACATACATACACATATACATACATACATATACACATATGCATACATATTATGTTTATACATTCAGGCATACGCACATGATATCTAAAGTAAGTACATAAATATATAAATATGTATGTATGTACATATTTACATGCCTATTTATCCTTCAACAGGACTCACCTGTTGAACATTTTGTTTTTGAATTTTTACGTCTGGACATACATACATACGTGTATACATATTTATTATACATTCGTATGTTTGTTTGTATGTATGTATGTATGTACAAACGATTTTAGAACATTAAAGGCTTTTCCGCCCGAGATACAAGCTTGTGATAAAAATTGGGAATTGGATCCCAGTTAGCAGAAGCTACACATGTACATATGTATGCCATTGACACCTGCGTCTTATGTATAGGTCAAAAGTATTCACTAATACGGTGCGTCTACACTGAGAAAAAATAAACTTCGCGTCAGGCGGTATTTTGTTTATTTTCAAACATACTTGTATGTATTTGTTTGGGAAGTTTTTTTTTGGAGACGCTTTCCTTCTACACTTTGCTTTTTCATAGTTCGGAAAATAGAAAATAAAAATAACGAATACATGTGTATTTTTATTGCGCCACAATAGCTTTGTTCCACACGCGTTCCGTGCTGTTTCGGCAGTTAGAGCGTAAAAATAAATTACCCTCTCACAAGTGTCAAAAATGTGTCAACACGTGGCAAAAGTGCCCAGAGCGTGAGGAACGCCAAAATAAATTAGTTAATCAGCACTAGCAAATATCTGCATTTCTGAACTTTAGTGCTATAAAATTTGCCTACGGATGTAAACATGCAAAGGCTGTTATTTCAAATTGACTTCTTGTACATTTCTGCCCGGAAAATAGCCCGGGCTGTTTCGGGCACGAAGAAGAAGACATTTACGATCCAAAACTGGAAGGTATTCGCTCTCTATTACCCATTTTTCTCGCGTGAGGATCGATTTATAAGCTGTTTTGGGCACCCGCGGCATCCTGCGGGCTCGCGTGGAACAAACCTAATATGTAAATAAGTTTTCAAATGTAAAGTTTGAATCAAACAATGATTTAATCTATTCGGAATTCAAAAAAGAACGGTTTTGTTTAAATATTCCTTCTTATGTTAAAAACATTCAAATTGCTAACATAAAAAAAAAAAATCTAAAAAGAATCTGATTGAAAAAGTCACGTCACTTTTTCTTACTGTAAATATACATACGTATGTACATACATACATGCATGCATATGTAAGTGCCCAGCAAAAATTACGATCACCTCAGAAACGAATAAACTATACATATATAGATTCGAAAGAAAATGTTTAAGCGCTTCTAGAATCATAACTTTAACCTTGGGAATGACATTAGCGGTAATGTGTGGAAGTGGGCTTTGGAATGGGTTAACACGTTGGCTGCCGGGGTATCACCGGTGATCACAACAGAAGTGGTTCTCTATTTGTCAATGTATAACAGGTGATCACATGCTAAAACTACTCTCAGTTGCCAAGCAAACATTTAAATGCTCTGCTCTGAATCAGAAGGTCACTTCTCTGATCACTGGTGAAAATTTACAGTCTCTTCGAAAGTGTTGCTCTCTTTTTCGGGTGCAAATCATTGGCATATGAGGAACGACTTTTGTTGCGATCACCGGGGATGCCCTGACAGCCAAAGTGTTAAAGAAGCGAAGGACGATGGTGAAATTCCATAATAATACCTTCTCCCACACTTGTCGACTTAAAGCGATTCCCAGTTTTTTGCTGGGTCTATGCTGTAAGTGCACACATTTGTACACTGACACTAGGCCGAGTCGCAAAAAAAATATATACTTGTATTACCCGTGAACTTTAAAAGCTTACTTGGTGAGGATCTTACTGCAATAAAAAGGCAGTTATAATAGAGTTGTGTTCATAATTTGTTATTCTGATATTTAGAAGTATGACATATCATTAAAAATGTAAGCACTAAAAATTCATTTTATACATACATAAATGCATATGTATGTTCATCCCTAGCTTAGAGTAAAAACTTACGAAGTCTACTTTTTATTACAACTTACATTTTTATACTGGAGGCAAGGAACATTAAAAAATGCATCGTTACCAAAAACCGAGTTATTTATGTATTTGAGTTTTGCCCATTACCCAATAGCGAAATGAAAATTTTCTAAATTCAAAGAGAGTACAATAAATCCGATAAGTTCAAAACAGGTTTTATTTATTGAGTTCCACCGATTCAAGTTTTGCAAAATATTTTTAGACAAGTAATTTTTAAGCAAAAAACCCAACCGACTCTAATTCTCATATAAAAATTTAGGAGTGCCGTTTATTCATGATCCAATGATCGGATCTAAACCAAATTAGTATAGTACCACCCTTAAGGAACTACCAACCTTTTCCAATATCACGCGGTAACTTACATAAAAAATAGCAGTAATAAAAAAACATTCCGACGAATTGCTAACCACTTCCTTTTTTTGTGAAGCCGTTTAAAAATTACATTCGGAAGTTTTTATTTTGTTCTATAAAGCTTTAAAAATTGAAATACTCGCTATCCGAAAGATCAATTATCTCAATTTCTACCCATTGAAGTCAAATATAGTTCCCATAAAACCAAACTTTTTTGTATGTTACCAATTTTTTTTTTGAAGCTTAAGAGATATATAGCCTAAAAATATGTATATGTATGTATCACACTTAAGGAGCCGGCCACAAATTAACTACTTAAAACTTAACTTTGGCTAAATTGGACAGCAATTTTCATGACGGTAAAAGAAAATTTTCGAACTGGAACTTTTTTCTTTCGTACCCGGTTTAATGCATATCTATATGTACAAATATATACATAGTAGAGTTGGATTTTTAAGTTCACTTAAAAGATTAGTTCAGTTCTAGTTCGTTCAGCTCAATGAACTAGCTCTTCTCAGTCTTACAGCCAGTTTCACGAAAGCAATTTAAGTGAAAAATGATTTTAATTTTTTGAGTTTTATATGGAAATTGACAGAAAATAAAAAATCATTTTCCATTTAAATTGCTGGTAAGACCGGCTGTTAGTTCGTTCTTCTTATTGAGCTATAGTTCACCTAATTA